TTTGACAATTTTAAGCATCGAATAACTCTCCATTGATGCCATTGCGAACTCCGCTTGCTTGGCACTTGCTCCTTCAGTTTCTTTTAATCTAGTTGGCTCTTCATCTCTTCGTAGGAAACCTGCAAGCCTCAAATCTCTTACAGGCGCTGATATCGCTAATGTTGTCAATGAAGCTGCTATACGAGCTGCCTCCACAGGAAAGCCTGTAGTTTCTGTGAACGAGCTTGAGTATGCAATGGATCGGGTTCTGGCCGGTCGGTCGCTTCTGCTACGTCGTAAATTTTTGTTACCTTCCTGGCTTACAGGTGCTGAAAAAAGATCACGCTCGTTAGTTGAAGAGGAGCGTGAAGTTGTAGCATATCACGAGGCTGGGCATGCACTGGTCGGGTGGTTATTGAAGCACACTGATGCTCTATTGAAGGTATGGTTTCGAAGCTTTTTTCCCTCAATTTGAATAGAACTTGGAAAGAGTCAAACTAGATCAACCATTGTATGATTTGAACATTATCGGTTGCTGCTACTATAATCTCGAAAGCTCAGCGGCATGCTTACTTTTGGAACGAATAGTTAGATCGAAAGAAAGCCACTGATAACTTCAGAGCTGAGCGTCTACTTTTTTATCTTAGGTAACTATCATACCTCGCACGTCTGCCGCTCTTGGTTTTGCTCAATATAGTCCCAGAGACCAGAAGTTGTTCACAAAGGAAGAAGTGAGTGTCAATAGATTGCAGATTGATAAGCGACAATATCCCAACTTTAGCTGTTCGAGCGCATGTGTATGATGCTAGGTGGTCGCGCTGCCGAAAACATCAAATTCGGAAGAATCACGACTGGAGCTCAGGATGACCTCAAGAAGGTGAGACACCGGGCTCCTTTGGCGGGTGTTCCACAAATCATTCAGGTGACAGAATCAGCTTATAATCAAGTAAAACGTTATGGAATGAGCAAGGTGGTCGGTCCGTTGTCGTTTCCTCCTAATGACGAGTTGAAAATCAAGCCGTTTAGCAAAAAGTTTGCCCATGTGATGGATCAGGTGAGAATATCAGCTCTTATCAAATGGCCTCTCTGTAAATTTGTGTGTTACTCAGGAAGCATCAAGTTTGGTGGCTCAGGCTTATTATGCCACAGAAGATCTGTTAAGGAAAAATGCAGATAAGCTGGAAACGGTGGGTAGCTTGTAGCGTTTGACATGGCTTGATCTTGTCTTTTATATGTAGCCGCAGTTGCTAAGACCCTCCATTCCATTGATTTACAGTTAGCTCAAGAGCTGTTGAAAAGAGAAGTGCTCAACTACGACGACGTCAAGATTCTCATAGGACCACCTCCACATGGCGATAAATATGTAGTAGAGTTAGTAGACAATATTCTTCCCAAGGAGGATAATGTGATGTAAAGATGTTGAAGGTTGTATATATTTTAAATAGATGTACAAATAAATCTTGATCTCTTGAATACAATTCTGAG